CCGGGGTCCGCGAGCAGGAGAGCCCTACAGCTGGCCACGCGGCGACCCGGAGGGACCCGGCGAGCCAGACAGACACGGCCCAGAGGCTGCGGCAAGTCTCCCAGAGAGGTCCAGCGCGGCCCAGGCCCGCGGCCAACCGCAGGTAGTGGTCGCAGTGCAGAGAGGGGCCGGCATAGGGGCCAGTGAGAGGGGGATGCGGGCCCGGACTCCTCGACACGCTGAATACCCACGACGGGAGGCCACTGGGGGCACGGACCAGGGGCTCGTACTCTTGCACAACCACCTAGCTCCTCCAAGGGGACGCAAGGGCCCGTGGCGGGGCCTTCCTCTCCCTGACTGGCCGAGTCTGGGCCTGAACTCTATCATGCACCGCCTTCCTCAGGCCCCGCCCTAAGGTCCTGACTCTCCTGCCCTGGTTCTGCTTCTCTGGTCCGTCCCAGGCCTTGAGGAGCTGTCTCTTTCTCTGTGTCTCTCTGGGTCTCTTTCTGTCCCTTCTGTGTCTCTCCAACCTCCCTCTGTCCCTCAAGTTTCCCGGAGCTGGCCCTGGAGCAGCCTCACAATGAGGCGTCTCCACTGCCGGTCCCCGGCCAGCCTGGCGTTCCAATCCCTGCCCTGGGCCAGCCTCGAAGGAGCTAGGCTTTGACCTGACACATCTTTCCAGACAGAGTCCAGCTTCCGGAGCGCATAAGCCTGGACTTGAGATTGGATTCAATCCCCGTGGCCTTTGGTGCCTCGGGTCACCAAGGGGCTGGTGGTGGATCCGTGGCTGGCCAGGGGCGAAGAGGGGCCTGGCACGACGTTGCTGGACCTCTCCCACCCTCCTTCCTGGTTGCAAACTCCGCACATATACTGGTCATGACCTTCTGCAACCCTCTCCCCCTTCCCGTCCAGCACGCGTTTGCGTCGCGGTCCTAGTGGGGCCAGGCCCTTGGCCGCAGCTCACACGTAGGGCTGGGGTAAGGGTACCATTGCAGAGCCCGGACGGGGCGGGGCTTGAAAACAGGAGCAGCTGCGGGTCGGGGGCGGGG